CCACGAATTACGGTTTGAACTGCTTGACCATCCACCTTACTCACCAGATCTAGCCCCAAGCGACTTCTTTTTGTTCCCTCATCTAAAAATTGCGCTCGGAGGACAGAGATTTTCGTCAAATGAAGAGGCAATCACCTTCGTGAACAATTATTTTGCAGAGAAAAACGCCGAGTACTATTTCGACGGGTTACAGAGATGGGAGCATCGCTGGGAGAAGTGTGTAGATTTACAAGGAGACTATGTTGAAAAATAAAAAACAATTTTCAGAAAAAATGACTTGTATCTTTGTTAGGTCGGAAACTTTTCAGACCACCCTCGTATATTTCTTTATTTCAATTTTATTTTTATATAACTTTATATTTTATATATTCTGATTTTAATAAAACACTCAAAAGAAAGTATCTATGTTCTAAAAGGATTATTTTACGATTTTGTGTCCATTGTGTTTTTCTTAAAATAAATGTTAAATAAAGCACAACATGCTCCGAGGAGCCATCTAGATCTTCCTTACTTGATATAAGTAAAATATTTTTTATGGTAACACACGTATTTCTTAAAATTAATATCCATGAAGAAAGCATGGTGATTGTCACATATTATTTGTTTTCACGTTATACGAGTGAGTTATTCTTCGGTGAATCTTTTATATACGTTTTAAAATGGGCCGCAGTATCGAAGTGAACCCGCAAACAAAGAGTGATAGGCCCGATCTACAATAGATGGAGTAAGGAGTAGGAGTAAGACGAAATGGAAATAATTTATTTCGCTTACTCCCTTACTCCAGCTCCTTACTTCAGCTCTTATTACTGAATTCAGACTTACTCCATGTGATGTATGCGGGCAAACTTTTATCGGAGTAAGGGAGTAAGCGAAATAATTATTTCCATTTCGTCTTACTCCTACTTCATCTATTGTAGATCGGGCTTTATTGTTGCTTTATCTAAAGAAAAGTTTTCTACAAACGTAATAGCAGCCAGAATTAAATTCGATAGCTTTAAATATATATGTATTGCAATTCTATGCTTACAACTTTTTTGCCTGGATATGTATGCTAAAGAATTATTTCCAGTTAATAAAGATTATTTTTATTAAAATACATTGCAAACTGCAGCTCGAATGCGATTCAAATAGATAGCGCGCAGAACAAATCGCTGAAAAATCCACATTTACTCGCGTTCACAACGCCTATTAAAATCGTCGAATATGCTAATAAGTTTGTAGACTAATCGACAAAAAAAACACTCGTAGCCTTCGTACGATGCAGAGCGATGTGCGTCAGTGAATCGCAATTTTGCAACTGGGTGCGCTCGGTGCGATAATCGTTGCGCACGTTAATCGTATTATCTTAATCGACCCACATCGGCCGATTCAATGTCGCGCGTGC